ACATTTTATTTGTAAGTAAGCAAACTAAAGAATGCTACTACAAAATGAAGTAAAATCTGCTTTTGGATTCAGTTACTTCTGACTTCAAAGCAAAGACTTAAAAAGCACTATGAGTCCATAAAGGAGGTTTTGGGAAGAGGGTTTAATCTCCTTTAGCCTACTAAAGAGCATCTAAAAAGTCACATACACTAGCATTTTCTAGGCCAATAATGCTGTTCATTTAATAAACATAGCCTATATCATGCAATCTGGGCTTTGTTACACTTACCCTGTGAATCTATTTCATGTGAGATATCCCATTTAATGGGTTGTTTTATTGTCAGAATGATTGAGAGGAAAATATGCTTCTTGATGGTATATGGTTTTGATACTTGAAACTGCTATCTTAGTACAGAAGCATTAACCTTACTACACTTTATTTTTTAAGAGACAGGCTCTCGCTGGAACACCCAGGCTGGATTGCTGCAATCCCAGCTCTCTGCGGCCTTGAACTCCTGGGCTCAAGGGATCCTCCTGCCTCAGCTGCACAAACTGCAAATTCTTTTATCAGAGAATAAATAAGATTTTTAAGCACTCCAGTATTTGGAAGGACTCATAATAAATAAAACATTTTCATCATCCTCCTGATTCCTCATAAAAATGTCTTACCAGAATGCTTATCCTATCTGACAGTTACAAAGCTCATTCTTTTTTCTCTGCATTTTCAATATAGGTTTAATGCTGGTATCTGTGCAAGGCAAATGAAGAACAAAGCCCTTGCAAATTTACATACATAGCAAAATAAAATTATATTTATGAAGACGCTAAAGAAGGGTATCTCATTATGCAAAATTCACAAAGGCACTTTACAAAAACCCTGGAGTCCAGGCTTGTGTGAAAAAGCAGGATCTAGGTTAGTTTGGGCCATAATGAAATCTGCATACTTAACCTGTAACCAAAGAAACTTTGAGGCCAGCAGGGATTTGCCATAACATATTCTGTTTTAGAATAGGCATCAGAACCACCTGTGTGGCTTTCTGACACTTTGACTCATATCCACATGCTGGGGTCCAACCTCTGAGAGGCTCTCAAGTAGGCACAGATTGTTCTGATGTCCAACCAGTATCTAAACAAATATTTGCATGTCTATTATAAAATGTATAAGGAAGCACTTTGCTTGGGCTACTTAGGGATTCAACAGGGAATTCTTGAGCCTAATCAAGAAAAATACAATACTTTGAGAATGACAGCATCAAGCTATTGCAATGACAAGAATGTAGCAATGACTGCTGACTGGGGAGTGAATGCAGATTACAGCTTGGACTTAGAAGAAAGAGAAAAGACACAGTACTTGAGAGAAAAAGAAACCAGATGCAAGATTAGTTAGGGAGTGAAAAGAGAACCTTAGCAGGCTAATGAAGGAAACAGTAAATAAATAGAACTGAGGAGATGAGACGGAATATCAATTACAGAATATCTTCATAAAAATAGAGCAGAAATTCATGCATGTATTTATGATATAAAATTATATAACTCTTTTTAATTGTAAAAGCAGATGAACCCGGTAGTTTACTTTCTTTCAAGCCTTAGCTTTCCTCTCAATTCTATCCCTCCATGCCTTAGAGCTTTTCCTTTATGTGAACCTCCATAACAGAACATTCATTCCTAATACATATTCTATCCCTGGTATAATAATATGATGTTTATTCAAAGGCACCTGTAGAAACTTGAGTAAGTAAAACAGATGATCCTAACCAAATCCATCAGAGGGCACTTAAAATATGTGCTCCCAAAGTTCCAGTGCATTTAAAATGACACGTCCATATTCCCTAATACTAGAAACATTGTAGAATCTTATGAACTGTAAAATACCAAGTTAATTAGGTTGTTGAATTACAACCACTTTCCAAATTAGCAAAGCAATGATATTCATGTGTTAACTTCTCTGTGCTGATGGGGTAAATAATCTATGCTTTTTGTAGCTCAGTTTCTCTCATAAGATGAAGTTAGAACAGACACTGAGTTGTAAGTTATTTTTCAGCTTACAAATTCAATTTATAATAGAATCTATACAATTATTTAAAAATCTATGCAACTCACCTTGTTTCAATTCAGTAAATGGGATTTGAACAAACAAAAAGAAATGAAAAAAAAAAAGACTGATAGGTAATCCTCACCTGCAGAAAAAAACATGTGGACATATTCATCTTCAATTCATTAAAACAACTGAGATTGTAAGATTCAACTGCAATATGAAAGTGCTTGGGATGTTTAGTATGCTACATGAACAAGGTTTCTTAAAATGCATGAAACAGATTGGGCCTTCTTTGAAAAAGCTTGTTCCTCCATTTTGAATGTATCTTTAAGTAGAAGCTAATTTCACAAGGTTCCCATTTTGCCATAGTGTTTAAAACCACATCTAATGACCATTATTTTGTTCAACAATTTCATCCCTAAAAACGTCTCCCAAAGTAGTTCTGTCTCTTAGAATGTATGTAATCAAACTTAATGAGAATGACTCTAAACTCTCTTAGGTTCTTAATGAGAAAGAACCTAAGAGAAAATGTTCTTCAAAAAATTTCACCAACACTAGGGCATGGTGCCACACACCTGTAATTCCAGCACTTTGGGATGCCAAGGCAGGAGAATCATTTAAGGCCAGGAGTTCGAGACCAGCCTGGCCAACATGGAAAAACCCCATTTCTACTGAAATACAAAAATTAGCCAGGCACGGTGCTGCATGCCTGTAATCCCAGCTACTCAGGAGGCTGAGGTGGGAGAATCATTTGACCCAGGAGGTGGGGGGTGCAGCGAGCGGAGATCATGCAATAGCACCTTCAGTCTGGGTGATCCAGTGAGGCTCCGTCTCAAAAAAAAAATGTCTCAGTTGTCATCCGAATTGATATTACTTAAAATAATCTGACAAGGGGAGATTTCCTACCAGTTAAAAAAATAATAGGATTCATAGAACTCTAATTTTAAAAGTATGTGGGGCCTCCTGGTTCTGTTTTTCTCTCATTTGTCTTACTTCTGCTGCCCCCTTGGAATTGTAGCATTAGGACAGAAAATCTTTTCCTAATCTATACAGTAGGGAAGAGAAAAAGGCAGAGATCTGCTCCAGATAAGCCACTTATGTGTATATCTACATAATTTTCCACTCTTAATTTCTTCTATTACTCAATAAACCGATGGGAGTATAAATTAGTTCAACCATTGTGGAAGACAGTGTGGTGTCTCCTCAAGGATTTAGAAATACAAATACCATTTAACCCAGCAATCCCATTACTGGGTATATACCCAAAGTATTATAAATAGGATTATAAATTGTTCTATTATAAAGACACATGTACACGTATATTCATTGTGGCACTGTTTACAATAGCAAAGACTTGGAACCAACCCAAATGCCCATCAATGATAGACTGCATAAAGAAAATGTGGCACATATACACCATGGAATACTATTCAGCCATAAAAAAGGATAAGTTAATGTCCTTTGCTGGGACATGGATGAAGCTGGAAATCATCATTCTCAGCAAACTGACACAAGAACATAAAACCAAACACCACATGTTCTCACTCATAAATGGATGTTGAACAATGAGAACACATGGACACAGGGAGGGGAACATCATACACCAGGGCCTGCTGGGGGGTGGGAGAGCTAGTGGAGGTATAGCAAGGGGTGGGGGGACTGGGGAGGGTTAACATTAGAATTACCTAATGTAGATGATGGGGGGATGGATGCAGCAAACCACCATAGCATGTATATACCTATGTAACAATCCTGCACAATCTGCACATGTACCCTAGAACTTAAAGTATAATAAAAAAATAATAAAGAATAAAAGATAACCAGGAAAAAAAAAAGGTAAAACAAATGCTCCTGGTAAGTAAGAGACACTTGTACAGAAATGTTTGGGTCTTTATCCAACAAAAATCCCCCAGCACCTAAGAGAACAAATTATATAAGTTAAATACAGTTACATTTTACCCATCCAAGTAGCTGCCCAGGATCTCGGATAATCATACCTGTGTATAGGTAGGTACCAGGAAGAGGACATGGATTGATAATCTTTTCTCATCTTGCTCAAAAAAGGGAAAAGTAAGCCATATTAAGTTACTAACTAAAAGGATTAACTCAGAAAGACTTTACAAGGCTCCTTTAACACTCTACTAGTAATTATATCTCAATTAAAGCTATATTATGCTAATGAATACAAGTCATTAAAGTGAAGCACCTTGAAGTTAAAATTCAAGCTCCTTAGAATGGTGGTTACCAGAGGGTTAGAAAAGAGGAAGGGGAGATGAAAAGAAGTTGGCTAAGGGGTATAAAAATACAGTTCTAAAGAAGGAATAAGTTATAGTATTCAATAGTATGGTAGGCAAATTACAGTTAATAATAATTTATTATATATTTCGAAATAGAAAAGAATTATAAGTTCCCAACACAAATAAAAGATATATGTTTGAGGTGATAGATATCCCCATTACCCTGACTTGATCATTACACATTATATACAGGTATCAAAATATCACACGTACCCCCAAAATATGTACAACTATTCTATATCAATAAAAAAATAAAAACTTCAAGCTCTTTTTCCAGCACCATTAAAGTTTTACAAAATTTGAGACTGCCCCAGATTTTTAACTTTTTCACTGAGAAAGCAAGACTTACCTTCCAGCTAATAACATATCACTACATACTAGAAAATATGTTTTCCATACGAAAAGTAGGTGAGTAAGACTACTATTCCCTGCTCATATGAGGGGCAAAATTACAGGGCCTAATTCCTCCTGATTATGTTTAGCAAAGTTTTTCTGTGCTTCTTTTCCATCTTCTGTGAGATACTGTATATAATAATTAAGAGCTCCAGCTCAAAAGCCACTGTAATCAAGCAAGAAAGCTTTTATGAAGATTTCTTGGAATAATACATTTCTTTTCATTAGGGAGCACAAACTGGATAATTTAGTGTAGACAATGAATGAAATAGAGGTTATCTAATCATACTTCCTACCTCTGTATCTCGAGAATCCTGAAAGACAGGGCTTCTCTTACTCCTTTTGGGCTGGGGGGAATGATGGTTGCCCTCTTTATTGCCATTTCTTCTTTTCCTGAAAATAAATTGCAAAGAGAGAGGAAAATATGTCATCTAAAAATTAATCTTTTGGACGCTTAAACTGTAAAGCAGTGACAACATATATATATATGAGATCTTGCCTGAAAAAATATGTCACTATCTGCTATCCCAAGATATAAAAGTCTTACGTACTCCATTACCAGGCATGAAGATAAAAAATGTAATACAAGAACTGTAAGTAAAGTCAGGCTGTAAATTTCATTTCTAGAAATAATTTTCATAACTTTAAGTGACCCTTGAAAATAAAGTAAGAACATGAGGAATTTAATAGCTAAGTTTTCAAAATCTACCTAATTAGTTTCATTGTCTTGACTCCATGAAGTTACAATTCCAGGGTAAATGATGTTTTAACTCCTTCCATAAGATAACACTTAAGACATGTATAACTGCCAGTGTCTATTTACTAGTAATTATAGCTCAATTAAAGCTATATCATGCTAATAAATACAAGTCATTACACTTGTAATGGTGTAGGGACACTGAAGAGCTATTTCTTGTATGTTGAATGTGGTTAGGCACTTACTGTTGCTATACCAACTAGTATTATGACATAGTAGTTACTCCACTGGATTGTCACCGATTACTTTCTTGAGATTGTGGCCGATTACTTCCTTGAAATATTTTTTTCAAAATTGCTTTCAATGATTGGTAAGATTACATCTTCAGTTTCAAGTTCCTTGTCAATAAGTAATCAGATTGCAGCATTTAACATAATTTTCACAGCACTCTATTAAGAATCAGACATTCTCCCCAGCCATCTGTTTAGAGACTACTTTTGAGTTTTTGATACTTCTAAGAATGGCTGAGTTTACCCATTTTTACAATTTCATTACTGTTTAGTCAATTCTCACCTTTGGGAGACTGAGTACTAATCATGTAGTGCAGTGATTTCTAACACTGTTAAATTAAACCACTTTCTTTAAGAAACTAAAAGCAACACATAGTAGGAAAAAAAGGGGTTCCTGTACTGGGAACAGGGGCTCTTTAACCACATCTCTCCCTACATCTGCTTTCCTGTGACACCCACTAACATAGCCTGAACTCTTCTTAAAACTGAGGAAACAGCAGACCCAGAGAAGCACAGTTACTCCGACAGTAAAATGAGTCAGGGTGGTAGAGCTAAGGCTGGAAGGAAAGTTCTCTTTAGCCTTGGCCCAAGGTCCTCCACAAAAGTTTTCAGGAAGTAAAAGTTAATGAAGAACTGCATGTCCCAATCAAACAATATCTTTATGATAAAGAACTTGCCAGTATAAATGAATCCAGATTATTTGTATACAGTGTTTAAAAAGGCACTTTTTTTTTTCTGCAGGAAATGTGATTTTTTCCCAGACATGTGTGAGGCATGCCAAAGCAGTTTTAGTTGGATTTGGGGAAAGAACTTTGTAGTCAGATGAGGCTTGCTTCCTATATACTGTTTACTGTCATATGTCTGTGCCCCTAATTCCAAGAGCATGTTGGTAATTTGGCCCCTGAATTCATAGTTAGTGTATTTTCCTTTATATTGCAAGCTCCTCATTACATTATCTAAATCAGTGCAGCAGGCTCCGTTGACTAGCTTTTCACCACCGGCCTAAATAACCTTAGGATGCCTTCCAGAATCTCAGTTCTATGAATTGATCCAGGGTAGGGTCTTTTTTTCTGAAAGACAGGCAATATACGAACAGCTGATCAAAACATGGAGCAACAATAAAAGATCCACCGCATCTACCAAGGAAATTCTAGGCTACATCTTACGGAAGCCTCAGTGGGATTATGAAATGAAAGAAAGAGCTTCGAACCTAGAAAGATCTGGGCTCTGTCCTGAGTCTGTTACCAACCAAGTAAATGCATTTTGTCAACTGAACTGGCTGAGGCCAATAAAACAGATTTTTAAGATATCCTAATGACACAGGCAAATGCTGACTACAAAATGCCAAATAAAAAATCATGTAGAAAACTGTTGCTACATTATACTCCATTACGAAATGATTGATTACATATAGAAAAAAATGACTGGATGTAAATATTATTTTATTTCACAATGTTTATTGAGCATCCACTAAGTGCTAGGCACTCCTCCAGGTGCCCAGGATACAAGAGTAAAACAAACACAAGCCACAGCTCCTGCCTTCATTAGGGAGCATGGTGATGGTTGTCTTTGATCATGGTATTTTGAGTATTTTGCGCTCAAGTTTTACTGAAACTTTCAACAGCTCACAATACGTTTGCATTATTTTTAAAACAGACTAATACTATGAAAATGGTTTCTCAAAGTGTGAAGCTGAGTTTAAAAAGCGGGATGTGGGCTGGGCGCGGTGGCTCACGCCTGTAATCCCAGCACTTTGGGAGGCCGAGGCGGGTGGATCACGAGGTCAAGAGATCGAGA